AAAAAAAAAAAAAAAAAAAAAAGAAATTAAAACACGAACGGAATCGTCTGAACAAACCGCGCGCACGTTCGACCTGCCAAATCCGACGAGCAAAGTAGTCGCGGAAGTATTTCCACGAAGAGCGGAAACGGAAAGAAAGGAAACGTTCTCTGCTGGACGGCGAGTCTCGTTTTCATCGACGAGTGGTATACCGAGTCTCGCAATGGCACATCAAGACCATCGCGAAACTGGGTGATTTATAGCTCGTAAACGTCACGTCCGTTGGGCCTGCCTGCGGGGGGCCGGCAGGAGGCCGGACTGGCGTAAGAATGGATAATGTGCACCCTGAGGCGCACGTCGCTGGTGTTTCGGCCACCGTCGCCGCCCCTGGTCCTCCTCGAGAAACTCACCGTGGTCTTGCAGCAGCAGTAGTGGAAAAGCTTGACGTACGCGCTGCGAAAATGCCGGTCCGCCACGCAGTAGAGCAAATTGTTGAAGCAGGATTTCGAGAGGGCGAACCAGGCGAGGTTGTAGAGAACGCGGGGGCTTATCGTTCGGAAGGAGTTAACGCAGACGACGGTGCCGAACGGCAGCCAGAATACCACGAACATCACGCAGCTGTACATGTTCGCCTTGGTCAGCTCGTAGTCCCAGGAGAAGGCGACCGGCGGCTTGTAAGAACCCCTGGTGGCGTGCCGGACCCGGATCACCAACATCACGTAGAGGAAGGTGGTCATTAAAGTTGGCAGACCTACTAGCACCGTCGCTCCGATTATTTGCTCCATGGCTATCCCCCTGAATATACGGAGGCAGAAGTCCGGCCCGACGTCCAACGACGATTGCAGAACCACCGTTGTTACCGATATCAGCCACACGCTGATGATCGTCGCTGTTACACGGGTCGGCGTTAACACCGCGTACCTGCAAGAACCACAGTTTGTGTAAATGAAGAGCGATCCTCGTTCTTCGGTACGGGGAAAGTGGACGTTACATCGGTGAATCTCCTGACAGGAATGGAGGATTTAAATTGGCTACTTTATCTCTTAATATACTGCTAATATACGTACATCAAAGTATCCATATCTTAATTCGTAAAATTTTTACCGATATACGCAACGTCATACGTATATGTAATACACGTTGCGTGTAAATATAATAAAGTATGTATAACATATATATCGGTGCTTCTGAAACTTGGTGGCTCCTTTTATCCGAGCAAAGATTTTCGCGACCCTGGGTACAGAGGTACATAAACTAGGAATAACAAATTAAATCGGCAATAAAGAAAATTCTATTCGAAAACAGTTCTTTGGTGTTGTAATTAATTCTCAGTCGTCCAGGAATTTTCTAGTTTTGTTAAAATTTAGTTACACTTTGAGACAACCCTGACATGTATATATGTTTAATCTCGCAACGAATATAAAAATAAACCGTGCTTGAGGTTTATTTCTCGAAAAATGATGTTCCTCGAAATCATAATCTCTCTCTCTCTCTCTCTCTCTCTTGCATCGCTCGGTTGTTAATTGATGGAAGGAAAAAGATGAACGTACATATGGTACAAATGCACGCAAATTCGAGACAGGAGTGCAGATAGAGAATATTGTGGTAGGACTCGAGACACACCGAAGTATCCTTGGAATCTCAAGTATTTCACAGATCGACTGAGGATAAAGTCGTTACCTAATGCAGGTGCTTTGAGTCTGCTCACATATTGCAGTTGATACGGGCTGCAGAGTTCTCTCTCTCTCTCTCTCTCTCTCTCTCTGTGTCAGGTACGAATTTCACGGAGTTAAACTAGGGGGACGTCCCGTAGAATGTGAAATTAGGAACTCAATCGTGACACTGGTAAGGGGGACTGCACGGCAGATCCACATCAAAGTCAAAGTGTCAAAAGAGATCTGGACCGTGGCATTAGTGGAAATAGCTTCCTATCCGGGCGTAACTTCACTGTGACCGAATCCGTTTCTCGCCTGCCTCGATCTCTCGTTGACGATAATGGAATGTTCGCCGCCATTTTGCCACGCCAATTGCGGCGTGCAGAATTTTTCGTCAGATAGAACGATCTTTTTCTTCTTTTCCTCATAAGATAGCTACAACTCTCTTTGTTTTGAGAAGTTACGGTAATAATTCGCTTTCTTGTCTATTTCACAACTAGAATATTCGCCGCCATTTTCCCACGAATTGTGGCGTGCAGAATTTTTCGTCAAATAGAAGGATTTTTTTTTTCCCCTCGTAGAATATTAGAAAACTACAACTCTCTTTGTTTTGAGAAGTTACGGTAATAATTCGCTTTCTTGTCTATTTCACAACTAGAATATTCGCCGCCATTTTCCCACGAATTGTGGCGTGCAGAATTTTTCGTCAAATAGAAGGATCTTTTTTTTCCCCTCATAGAATATTAGAAAACTACAACTCTCTTTGTTACGGCAAATAATTCGTTGGAGCTTTTTTTTTCTATTTTATAAGAAACAGATTACTCATTGCAATCTTTTAAATACTTTTCTATTTATAGTGTTATGTTTTGTCATTAATTTGCTGTCGTACTTTTCACATTATTCGTGAAATACTTTTGGAGAATGATCGTAACTCGATGTATGCTTGAAAAATCGCAGAAATAATAGAGGGAAATTTCTGCTCGTC